GTGTGTACAAAAAAAGGTGTGTGCGATGGATGTGTGTGGAGGTGTGTGTCATGATGTGTGTGGAGGTTGTGCATTGGGTGTGTGTGGAGTGGTGTGTGTGGGTGTGTTGGATGTGTGTGCATGGGTGTGTACAAAGGTGTGTGCATGGTGTGTGTGCGAGGTGTGTGCGATTGGTGTGTGTGGATGTTTTCGTTGTGGGTGTTGTACAAAGGTGTGTGCATGGGTGTGTGTGGAGGTGTGTGTGGGGTGTGTGTGGAGGTGTGTGGATGGGTGTGTTGAGGTGGTGGTGGTGTGTGTGGAGTGTGGCGATGGGTGGGTGTGAGGTGTGCTGCATCGGGGTGTGTGTCGAGGTGTGTGCATGGGTGTGTGTGGAGGTGTGGTGGTGTGGTGTGTACACAAGCGTCGTGTGCCCATGGGTGTGTGTGGAGGTGTGTGGTGGGTGTGGTACAGAAGGTGTGTGCAGGGCGTGTGTGTGGAGGTGTATGTGTGGCGTGTGCACAAAGCGTGTAGTGCATGGGTCGTGTGTGGGAGGTGTGTGTGTGTGGTGTACAGAAGGTCGTGTGCAATCGTGGGTGTGGTGCATGGGTGTGTACGAAGGTGTGTGTTCCCTGGGGCAGAAGGTCAGAGCTGCCCGACTTATTTGGGGCAACCCAGAGGCTCAGTGGGAGGGAGGCCTGCCGAGGGTGCCACGCTCAACTGGTCCCGCCCCGCGTGGCACTGGGAGCAACGGGTGGCCCTTTCAGGGGCCTCTTCCCCAAGTCCACGTGAACAATCGCCTCTCAGGGTCCACCCAGGGTGGAGAAAACAGAGACACGACTCCTCCGGCTCCTGCTCCTCCCTGGCCAGTCTGTGCTCCCGCAGCGTGCTCAAGTCTTTCCTGGTGGTGCACGGACGGGCGGGGCGGGCCCCAATGCCCTTGGGCTCTGCGGCCGCAGGACGGCCAGCCCAGCGTGGGGCGAGCTGTGCCCGGCGTGGGCGCCCAGCAAGGCGCCTGCAGAGTGTGGCCGGGCTAGGAAGAGCTGCAGCCACGGCGACGCCTGGAACCAGGAACCCAAGCCCCCGAGGCCAGGCGAAGACAAGAGGGCCCGAGTCTCACGGAGAGGGTGTCTGACGCGGGCGTCGCCGCTGCCGAGCTCCCGGCCAGCAGGCCCGGAGAGACGTCCTGGCGCCCGGGCAGCGGCTCGGCACGCGGCGTTCCCGCCCGGAGCGGGGCCCGCCTTCCGCCCTGCACTGCGGCTGACCTCTGACGATCGTGAGTACTTGCTGGGAGCACAACGCCCCTGCACACACGATCCTCTGAGGCCGAGGCCCTGTCATCCTTCACCCAAACGAGCCCTTCAGCAAATGTAAATACCCTCCCCGCTCTCCCGGAGGCCCGTCCTAACAAGGCCTCGCCGGGGCCCCCCGTAATCCCCGGGATTGCCGGAGCTTTTAGGTTTAAGGGAGTAATTTGTAAGGCTGCCTGTCCCGAGGCCAGCTCTGCGGCGACTTGGCCTCGGCGTGTTCCCAGGCATCTCCTGGAAACGGCGGCTTGCACTCACCCGGGGTGGCCGGGCGGCTCTGCAGGCCCCGAACCTGTCGCCCTCTGGGGTCCCAGAGCCGCAGGATTTTCCTAGGAAAGGCAACAACAGCAGGCACCATCCTTCCGGGCTCAGGATGGGGCAGGGGCGGGGCGAGGGATCCAGTTCCCAGAAGACGTGGGAGGGGACGGCCACGACTCGCAGAGAGCACAGGGACGATTGGGGCTGCCAGGGAGAGCATGGAGGAGCTCGGGGAGCCGAGGGCCCTGGCTGGGAGCCCAGAGTCAGGCGGAGTTGCTGGGTGGCCTTGGGCGAGTCAGTGGATGGGCCTGCTCCGCTCCTGCCAGCCACTTCCTGTGTCCTGGCCAGGCTCAGAGGTCTGCACGTCCCCACCGCCTGTCCCTGCCATCTGTCCCCAACACCCGTCCCCACCATGTCTCCACCACTTGTCCCCACTGCCCATCCCCACCATCTGTTCCCACTGCCCATCCCCACCGCCCGTCCCCACCACCCATCCCCACTGCCCGTCCCCACCATGTCCCCACTGTCTGTCCCCACCACCTGTCCCCACATCCCATCCCCACAACCCATCCCCACATCCCATCCCCACTACCTGTCCCCACCATCTGTCCCCAACGCCCATCCCCACCGTGTCCCCACCACCGGTCCCCACATCCCATCCCCACCACCCGTCCCCACCACCCATCCCCACATCCCGTCCCTACCACCCGTCCCCACCACCCGTCCTCACCTCCCATCCCCACCACCCGTCCCCACCATCTGTCCCCAACGCCCATCCCCACCGTGTCCCCACCACCTGTCTCCACCGTCCGTCCCCACTGCCCGTCCCCACCACATCCCCACCTTCTGTCCCCAATGCCCATCCCCACCGCCCGTCCCCACCACCCATCCCCACCACGTCCCCACCGCTCATCCCCACCACCTGTCCCCATCATGGAGTTCTGCCGGCGGGGATCTGCGCAATCAAGAGTCCGCACACGCGGGTTCCTACTCGGGGACTGGAGGGAGAACTCTGTTCCCTTGCTCCACTCCCCGGCGTCTGTCGCTCGGCCACGATTTCTCAGCGTCCCTCTGGCGTAGACGCGGTGGGCTCCGCTCTCCTGCCACCACTTGTCCACGGGGCCCTCTCTCCTGGGTGTTGCGCAAAATGTCCATTCTTCTTCTTCTTCTTTTTTTTTTTTTTTTGACATAGCGTTCTCATCTGGTCGCCGGGCTAGAGGTGTCGTCGGATGTCATCGTTCACTCACAGCAACCCTCCAACTTCCACTCACAACAACCTCCCATCCTCCTTGGCCGTCAGCGTCCCAAGTAGCTGGGGACTACAGGCATGCGCCACCGTCGCTTCCCGGCTGATTTTTTTCTCCATTATAGTTTTGTTGAGCCAAGTTAATTTCTACTCTGTATATTAGTACGATGATGGCGCTCTCACTCTTGTCAGCCAGTCTTGGAATCCTGACTGAGCATCAGCCACGCTGCTTGGCCTCCCAGAGTGCTAGGATTGCAGGCAGTGAGCCACCGCGGGCCGGCCAAATTTCCTTCTTCTTAAAAGGACACCAGGCATCGGATGAGGGTGTCAGTTGATCCAGCAGGCCTCATTTCTTAACTTGCTTGCTGTCTGCCGATGACCACCTTTTTCCAAAATAAGGTCACCTCCCCAGGTCCCGGGGATTAGGACTTGGATGTATCTTTATAGGGGGACACGATCCCACCACGGGCAGAGCCCCAAGAAGGACGGGCCGTCCGCCGCGGCGTGACCGACAAGGGAACAGCCTTGCTGCCATCAGCCAACGGTACCAGCAAGAATCGCGCGAGTTTTAGGACAAGAGAGAAATTTACAAAGGGACACCGCCAGCCTGGTGGGCCCCCACGCCAGCACGGCAGCAAGGAGCAGAGACCAGCACTGGGCCAGAGGCCGGTGGGGAAGTTTAGCGTGGACCGGCCCAGGGAGGGCCAGCGTGGGGCAGGAGCAGCGCTGTCCAGCTGAGCCTGCAGCTTGGCCGTAATGCCCCCAACTCTTCCCTCCCTGGCCGTGGTTACTCTCGCCCTCAAGATGCACCGATCTGTCGACCACTTTGCGCGCCCATGCTGGGGGGCTGCAGTCCAGGCCCTGCCAGACTCAGACCCCGCACCCAGCTGCCTCCGTCCCAGCTCCCAGCAGCCCCGGTGCGCAGGCACGGGCTGCAAGGCCGGTGCCACTTCACCAGATGAGAAGACGGGCTCACAGAGTTAACGACCAGTGTCTTGGGGCCCCGCTGGGGACAGGTGGTGGCAGAGAGCGGGCCCACGCGTCTACGCCAGGGAACGCTGAGAATCGCTGGCGAGGACAGACGCCGGGAGGGAGCAAGGAACAGATTCTCCCTCCAGTCCCCGAGTAGGAACCCGCGTTGCGGACTCTTTGATTGCAGACTCCCGGCCGGCAGGAACATTTGAG